TCTGTGTAACCTGACTGGGAATGAGGAAGGAAAGAAAGAAAGAAAGAAAGTTTTATTTTTATTTTGGCAAGAACACAACACTTTTGACAATTTTGAGGCGCGCGTGTATTATATAATATATGTCACTGTGTTCTTGGTCTTCTCCGAAACGGCTCGACCGATTTTAATGTGTCTTTTTGTTTATTGGGGAGGTATGAGAATAGGTCGTAAAGTATTTTTCAACCTCCTACCGCCAACCCCATTTTTTGATCTCATTATTTATATGGCAGAACAACGTTTGCGGGGCCAGCTAGTGTGTGAATAACAGCGATGAATATCTTTCCTTATAGAGATCTGGCAATCTTAAATGAGACTTACAATTATAAACTTCCAAAAGAGCACAATATAATTGCCCATAAGTTTGTTCATAGAACATAAATGTTGTATTGTATTGACCTTCAACAGAAACAGCTATGAATAGTGGAGTCCATATATACATATATGTGTATATACTAGGTATAAACTAGTCTTGTACAAATGTGTATAGAGTAAAGCTAATCAATAGGTATGTTAGAGCTTAGGCAATCACACAGGGCTGTTTGGAATATGTATAAAGGCGCACTAGCGCTGTGCTTAATTAGAACTATTGAAAATTGCAGATTAATCTTATGTCGCAGAACGACCTCCGTCCTCCATTAGCGCAGGCCTGGGGGTGACAGGTGAGGCCATCTGTCACCCTAGCAGAAGCAGGCCGATTCCGATATAGCCACCGGTGGGTGATATCCGAGGGGATTTTCGCACAGAAAAAAAATCGGGGTAGGCAATGGATTTCCTTTCTAGGGGACTCATGGTTCCCCGGCTACTGGTAAACGAGACGGCGTGTGGTTTTCGGTCGGTTCGAGTCCGACATGATCACCCCACCGGTGGGGTACCACGGGTAGATCCCCTCGGATACCACCCACCGTAGTGGGTGATTATGTGAAATCCCCTCGGATTTCCGCACAGAAAAAAAAAGGATAAACAACGTTTTACCAACTACAATTTAAGTAAACTTTTTTTTCCTTTCTTCTTAGTGAGGCCAAACCTAGGGGGTTTAACTCCCGGATTATGGGGGGGAGGGGGTTTTAAATTGAAACATATTTATTATTATATATTTATTTTTTAAAAAAGAACTGCACAACTTTCTTAATCCATAGCATGCCAAACGTACATGTGAGCTACGGAGCCACTTTAACCAAAAGTTATGCAGTCGGTCCGGTCCCGCTGACATCCAATTCGGGAGCGAACTAAATTCATAAGCTGTTAGCTTATCACTTATCACTTAGTTAGCTTATCACTCTCTGAAGTTGATACCAGCTCCATTGTATTGATTGACTCACATGATCGTTCGACATCTCGCATCCACTCATCCCCTCAATTATTATTATTATATATCCAAAAAACGCGACTGAAAATGCAGACATTTTGAGCTTGTGTATTTATCTTAGAATTTTTAAGATCAGAGTGATACACGACCTCATAGAAAACCGGTGTTAAACAATTCCTTAGTTTCTTTTCACGGAGTGAGTGAGGTTTACATCAAAAGCCTGTAATAGTCCACTGCCGGACATAGGCCTCTCCTTAGAAAGGAGGTTATGGCTTACTATACCAAGCTGGGCAACCGGTTTGGTATAGAGTTTGTGTCAGGTTTTCCTTCTATTTGCAGTGCTGTTGTCCTGCGTAGTTTGCTCCCTTAGTCGGCTCTTACGACATCTACGGGATGAATAGGAGTTATGACACTCTGAATTCTTCTGTCTGTCTTTGATAAAAATATTGGTTCTTTGTTTGCTTAATTGTTTCATGGCATTTATCTTTGTCTATGATCAAATCCCAGTAGTGATTTTTAACAGGTGAAATCGCAGCGACTTAAGACAATCGACTGCACGGATGGCGTAGGGGTTTAAGCGGTCGTCACGCCGCTTACTACTACGCTGAGTGTTGTGATTTCGATCCCTACACGGTACGACACTTTGTGTGTTCCACAAATTGTTGTTCTGCGTCTGGGTGTTCTTTCTAAGGAGAGGCCTATGTCCAGCAGTGGACTAGTATAGGCTGTTGATGTGATGATGATGATGATGTCTGGGTGTTCTTTGTATCCGTTTCATGTATCTTTGTTAAGTTCCCCGCGACACAGGATATAGTCCTAATGCGGGCGCTGTCTTTTTAAATAAGAAAAAGAAAAAATAGAACATTTCATCATATGATTATGACGTAAAAGTAGCAATAATTTTCGGCAGCCACTTACCATCAAGTCCTCTCCATCTCCCTTTACCTCCTCATACCATGAGGTCCATCACAAGTTAAATGAACCAAAATGTCTTAAAAGGTTTCGAGAAAAAGATGACACGGGTGTGCCTTTATTTTTTTTATTAATTGTCACAGCCGTGTCCTCAGATTAACGTGTCTATAACTAAAATAACCTTTGGTACGATTATTTTATTAATAGCATAGATTATATTCCTTGTGTGTTATAGGTATTTTAGTTCAGGCCGTATCTAGAGCATTTATAGCGAGGACATGGTGTAGGTAGGGCTTAAATGTTTCTATGTGTACGTATATTTATAGAGATGATATCCTTGCTCCATTGCACTTGACCCACATAGAAATAACTTTAGGTTTCAATAGACTTGTTTTATGTCTTATGTTTTATCCGTGTGGTGACGGATTAAGAATACAGAGTGTCACCACCCTTATTCATCCCGTGGGTGTCGTAAGAGCCGACTAACGGAAAAAACTACGCAGAACAACAGCATTGCAGAGAGAAGGAAAACAAACCCTATACCAACCCGTCTGGCCAGCGTGGTATGGTAGGCCAAAACCTCCTTTCTGAGGAGAGACATATGTCCAGCAGTGGACTATTAAAGGCTGTTGATGATGATTTCTTATGTAAACAAAACTGACGCGAACATTAGATAAAAACAATCTTTGCAGCAGTTTATATATCGTGTCAAAATTTGAGTTCAATCGATGAAGAACTTTTTGAGTTTTTAAAGCGTAGGTACACAAACCAACTTTTAATTTTTATATAGATTCAATATGTGTCGCCAAATGTTATTTTATTTCAACCATAGAAAGTTTATATTTTTTTTTAGTAAATTAAACGGGAACTATAATTTTGAAGCGTCACGTCAAGTCAAGCGGTTGCGCGTGTTGTCTGGTGGTATCAAGTTTTAAATGATATTCAACTTATTCGTCATCTAAAATGTCACAAATTACGTCATCTAGTTTTAATTTTTCGGTCATGCGCGAACCGCTTACTAGGTCATTGACATCGCCTTTCCATTCGTGTATACCAATGTTTGTTATTTGAAAGTGGTAGATTTAAAATAGCTGTTTAAATATTTAAAAACTATATTTAAGAAAGTTCGGCTCTATGATTATGACGGTTAGTACTAAGTTTTGATGTGGGTTGTTTAACTTACTTGTGATCAAAATTTTCTTTCTGTGGTTAGAAAGGTTGTTGAATGCAAAAGGTGCAATTTAAAAAACGTCTGCACAGAGATAAATACAAGGAAGACATTTTACACATCCTGAAGAGTTGGAAAATATTAGAAGTACTTCTCTTATCATTAAAGAAAAACTTTCGTAAGTGGATATATTTGTTTCCTCTGCATTCCAATGTAGGAATGATACCCATGACACTAGGGACTTGGCAAACAATACACCTGAAGAACAACCAGACTCAAGAGACTTTGGATCATACAAATTTTTGTTCGTTGTGGGTATCGAAACCCCAACACTATGCGCGACGCACGTGACGAGAGGACCATTATAACCATTGTGCTATTCTTGCAAGCTGCTTAAGAAAAATCTTACAAAAGCATACATGACCATCTCATTCTTATCTCATAGTCAGTATTTAATGATAGTATCCATAGAAACCAAAATGTTGTTCCAATTTGTTTTGCACCTGAATTGTTTGCTAATAGGCACGGGTGGGACTCCACAGTATTTCCTTTGGCAGAAGACGAAAGAATCGAGTTTCAGGACGTCATTTTGTTTTAAAACTTTAGATTTCTATACATTTTTATTATACTGTAAGTCATAAAATGAAACAATGTATTATAAGTCTTATATTTACGGTGTTAAGGTGCTAAAGTTCGCTATCGTTTGATATCGTGTTAATCATGCAAAATACGTTGTACTGTACGTGATACTAGATATTTTATGTTTATTTGATACTAAGGGCTTTTTTTCATAGACTAATACTACTATTACTAAATACTAAACTTTTTCTAATAGAGGTAAGAAAACCTCATTTTGAAGTCGATTCGAAATTTTTAATTAGACTTCTCATACATATTTTTTTATTTTTTATTTTATTTAAATAAAATAAAAAGGTATTGAGCCATATTATGTGAACCGACTTCTGTAATTTTTATTTGAAGTGCTCATACTCAAAGTTAGACCCATTTAAAGTTCTTTTTTTATGTCAGAGGGGGCAGACGAGCAGACGGGTCACCTGATGGAAAGTGACCATCGCCGCCCATGAACGTCTGCAACTCTGGAGTCACAAACGCGTTAAAGAAAATTTTCTACCTGTAAAAGAGGAAAATGAAGGGATGAAGAATACGGTTATATTCATTCGTATTGAGTCGGTAATACTCTTTTGACTCCTATGACGAAATTTTACACTACCGCTACTGTGTATTTTCTCTCGTTGTGACTGATATACGAATTAATTTTTAATTTTTTAATAGCTTTCCTTTCGATTTTCTGCCATCTTTAAGTGATGTCTTAAAGCTTCGACATTTTTTTCAAGTAGATTAGGAGTAATTGGTTGTCATATTACTAATGCCAAAGATCATAAACAATTGTAGCCATTGCATTAGCACCAATGCAATTTATAAAAATGTAATTACCACGTTCATATGGCAGATTTGTCTCAATAAATAAATAGTACTTAACACAAAACAAAAACTCTCCTTAGAACGTTAAAGATATTTACAGAAAACTGTTGTAACAATAAAAAATGGACTTACCGGCGGCGAGTATCAGGAGCGTAAACGCGAGACAGGCATGCGGCCCGAAGCCGCGCGGGGGCGGCACCCTCCCCGTCATTGGCCGAGAGCTGGGGGCGGTTTTAGCTATAACAACACAGCCTTAACCCCCGAAGGCTTCGTACTTTAATTTCACTCACTCCACACACAAAGAACTTGATAATTTTCACTTTTTATTTATTGACAGATATTTTCGCGCGGTTTTTGACATTGACATTTATTTTTTTTACGCGCGGTGCAGTCGCTTACAGCCAGCGCGCTCCACAGACTATTCACAATCACTGTACTTTCACTCGCGCTCGGGCATTGATTGCGTGTAATTGCGTCATTTGTTTACTTTCACTTTATCAGTCAAATTTGAGATGAGCTTGCAAACTTACGAACTATTTATTGTCGCACAGTCTTTGTTTTAAATTGGCTATGGTGTAGGTCAAATTAAACAATATGGTTTCTGTAGAAATATAATGCAGTGATTATTATAAAACAGTTGTAGACATCGAGGATTCCTGATATTTTTATTTATTTACGTTCTAAAGGGGCGTTAATTTTTTTAGTTTATTAACCCTCCTTTGTTAGAGACAGATAAACAAATTTATATTAAATAAACAAAGATATTAGGAATCCAGGACATAAAATGTGGCGATTTACAGAGCAAGGAATTTTACGCACCGCGGTACACCGCGCGCCCTAATAAATGAACCTGCGATGCGATTCCTTGCTCTGTGCGATTGAATAAGGGTTATTTAAACAAACTGGTGCGTGTTCATATGTTTTGTAAAATTTACGAGCAATCTAGTTCGTAGTAGAATATAATTTTATGTATTTATGTCATTTTTACTACAACAAAGCGTATAGCGTGGCTGGATATGAATATAAGACACTCATATTTCATGAACTGAAACGAATTTTGTAGCTATTGTTAAATAATAATCTAGATCTAAAATGAAAAGAAAAGGAATAATCTAGAACTCTAAACTGTAGGCTATAGAGGAACATTTAAGAGACACGACACCCATATTGAGCATCCGTGTGCCATGCCTTTGTCAGTTGTTGTTATAAGAGCATAGGGGTACAATAAAGCTTAAAATATTATGATATAGGAAAGAGGTATACGGAAAAAGTTTCCATGTGGTGACGGAGTGTCACCATTCGCATTCATCCCGTGGATGTCGTAAGAGCCGACTAAAGGAGCCACTACGCAGGAAAGCAGCACAAAGGCTTTACACAAACCCTATACCAACCCGTCTAGCCAGAGCGTGGCATAGTAGATTATCCTTTCGAAGGAGAGATCCATGTCCAGCAGTGCATTATTAAAATAATGTGGATGTAATGTGCTGATGTAGGGATAAACAAGCAGAAGTATCAGCTGATGATAGATCCCATGAACACGTGAAAGTCAAGAGTCACACGTTTGTTACCGGCCTTTGAGTGACTCCCTCCTCGGAGTAGGTGGATTAAAGGATGATCTTCCATCAACCTCACACACTTGGTAAAAGACGTTAAAAGAATTGCAGAATTTTGTACTTGTATAAGATAAATATGTGAGAGCTTATTATAACTTAGAACTTGAAAAAAATTTAACCGTCTTTAATGGGCCTACATCACCATCATCAACAGCCTTTAATAGTCCACAGCTAGACATAGGCTTCTCCGTAGAAAGGAGGTTTTGGCCTGCTACATCATCATGATGAATTGTAATAAAGTGTATCTTTGATTTTCTACCCTCAGTTATTTTATTTATTTACAAATTTGAATAGGACCACATAGAAAGTATACACTAAAAAAGCAATTTTCAAATCAGTTTATAATTGACGGAGTTCTGCGATAACATCAACAGCCTTAAATAGTCCACTACTGGACATAATCCTCTCCTTAGAAAGGAGTTTTTGATCAACTATACCACGCTGGCCAGCCATTGAGAACCTACTTTTTTTAGTTAGGTAGTTAGTTAAGTTTTAGTCATTTATTCGCGGGCACAGTAATCAAAGTTCTCAGGTTAATCAAACATACAGTACAAAGTTTTCCGTCTCGGATACGGCATGCTAATATTACATAATAATAATAATATTTTATCACATTCACACAACGCCATCTAGTCCCAAACTAAGCAGAGTTTGTACTATGGCTACTAGACAACTGATATAAATACATACACACTTTTTTTTTTGTAAATACATACTTATTATTATTTGAGTGACGATTTGCGCAAGATGGCTGGCAGAAGCTGGATGCGAGAAGCCGAAAATCGATCTCCGACTGCGATAGGCTGATGATGATACTTATTATACATAAAAACACCCAGACCAAATCAAAAATTAAATGTTCATGCACACAAATGTTTGCCTTGAGCGGGAATCGCACCCGCGACCTTTGTAATGGCAGTCCGTTACACAAACCACTACGCCATTCGGTCGTCAAATCTGCATTGAGAACACAGCTTTAGGAGTCATACAAAATTAAATATAGAGAATAAAATACGTACATATTCAAGTCATACACATGCAGTTCTCTTGCAAAAGTTGAATACAAAATTAGTAAGATGCAAAGAAACGACATAACGTAATTTAGAGTGACGCCATTTTCGCGCTTGACCCACAACGGGACTACTGAATGAGAATAGTAATAACGTGTTTAAACTAAATCAAAGGTTAGTGCATTTTTTTACGTGGCCCAAGTTTAAAGCATACACTGTCGTAAGTATGTACTTATATTTTTTTTCGTGGCAGGTACACCACACATGGCAACTATACATAATAATATATATACAAACTAGGTGACCCGGCAAACGTTGTTTTGCCATATAAATTATTTCTAGGCAGTTGTCAAAAAATAAAAAAATATATTTAAGGGTGGGTGGGTCATTTAGGGTTATTTAAAATTTAGAATTTTATATATTAGAATAAATAAAATTGAAGTGTCTATTTGTAATGTCTATATAATAGTTTTTTTTCGAGCTCACACTGTTAGCTGCACGTTACATATGCCTAAGAACCAGTTCAAATATCCCTCACCAGCTGGTATTGTCCCTTTAAAAAAATAAACCGGTAGGGGAATCGAACCCGTGGCCTCATGGTCTGCAGTCGCATACCGTATGTACTAGACCACTACGGCAGCATTTTTAAAAATGCACGAGAACGAAGTCACTGGTACCAGCTAGTGGTCAATAAAATAAATGATTTCTATACTTAAGAGAGTCATACTTCGGCACAAATGGACTCGCTCGACAGGATTGGGGGGATACATAGGCATGGGCAGCAGTAGTTACTAACCGTCAGGTGACCATAACAAAAAAACTTAAGAAATTCTGGTCAAAGTTCGACGACCAGGCGATCTGGTATTTATATATTGATCTGTAGTATCTACACAGTAAGTAGGTCATGCGGTTAAATATCAACCATATACGTTTAAACTTTTGGAAATTATTCTGTTATAACATGTTTTGTTCCTACAAGAAACTTTTTAAATATAAATACTCAATTATCCAGAACCAAAGAAAGTTTGGCTTGGCTTGTATTGTAGGTATTTAATGTCATGTCCGGACATAACATTAAATTTCTGTTCTCTACATACTTAACCTTTTTTGCTCTACTAAAATTAGTTTAATTGTAAAAGTTAGTAATATTATTAAGCTGAAAAGTTTGTAAACTCGCTAATATCAGGAACTACGGGTTTGAATTGAAACGACTGCACGGCGACTTGTTATAACACAGACTGCACGGATGGCGCAGTGGTTTAAGCGGTCGCCACGCCGCTTCCTACTGCGCCGAGTGTTGTGGGTCCAAACCCCACATGGAACGACACTTTATGTGATCCACAAATTGTTGTTCTGTTTCTGGGTGTTCTTTGTGTCCGTTTCATGTATGTTTGTAAAGTCCCCCGCGACACAGGATATATTCCTAATGCGGGAGTTGTCTTTTAAACAAAAAAAAAAACATTATTTTAGTGTTGGATAGTCCATTTATCGAAACAAAGTAATTAACATCACTAGGTCAGCTAGGAATACATGGAACTGCCGGTTGATATGTCACATACTGGCTTCTCTAATCTCAGGACAGAGATATCGGTACGCGACTGACCGGCATGACCCCTAGAATGTGGAGGGGAGATGGGCTACATTATGAAAATAAACTCACTTGTACTTGTAATCCACTATTTTATTAAAATTGACCTGTCCGGTTTCGACTTATGTCATTATCAAAGGTGTTTTTAAATTATCAATTGTGTATATATAGAAATAACAGTTAGTCAGTGTTAAGAATTCACCCTGAAAGTGGGGAAATTTTAATACCTCAAATTCTATTAATACTACATGTCCAATCAAAATTAAATTTAATAACTTAAAAGTTAAACTACTAAAATAATTAAATGATTACAGAAGTCCAATTAAAATAAGATTTCAAATTATATTACATACTAGGTGTCCATTAATAATAAAATGTAATTTCCACTAAATGTAATGTATAACTATAACCATGTAAAGTAAATAAATTACAAATCATAAACTGTCAAAAATCAATCAAAAATCACATAAATAATAATCTTGTGAATGACATTACTTCACCCTTGCTTCACTCACGTGAATCTTTCTTATTTCGTGTTTCTAACTTCGAAAATGATGAACTTCTGTACAACCAATCATCCCTTATTTTCGTCCCTTATGGATGAAATAAAAAAAAATCCTTTTTAGTGGGTGCTTACAACATAAAAAACATCAGCAGCCAAAATTTCAAGTTGTTTGTAGAACCAGCGGTTTAGGGAAACGCTACTACCAAAAGTAACGAAGTTTCATATCAATTCCCTTATGCACTATTAGGGGTGGAATATTTAAAAATCCTTTCTTAGTGCACATCTGCGTCACCTCAGAAACATTTGTGCTAAATTTCATGCTTCTAGACCCAGCGGTTTCAGCTGTGCGTTGATTGATCAGTCAGTGAATACGAGTATATCTTTTATAGATATACTCGTAGATTATTGGAACGAAGTTCCTTATCGAAATCGAAATTCTCACGAAAAGTTGTAATGACACTTATTTTGGATTGTCACTTGTCAGTCATTCAGCGC